AAAATACCTCCCCGTTTCTAAGGGTTGTGTTTTGTTGCCTGCTACTGCGGGGAGATCCACGGGCAAACATTTGAAGAACTGGAAGTGCATCTTGGAGAATGTGCCGTCTCCTTTGGGATGTCCCCGTTGAGATGCTATGAATCATGGCAAGTCCGGGGTAGCCCAGCTGCATCTCGGCAAACCACACACGCGGCAGAACCTTTTCTTCAGCAGACCTCTTTCCCATCACCACGCTAGAGCGGTCACTCACCGCAACCTAGAGGAAAGGCTCCTGTGACTCAAATCAGCAACACTACATGTTTCTGCAGGACCCAAGGATGTCCATGGCAAGATAGGGAACAGCCTTGTGCTATCTTTGGAGGGTGGGTGGAAGAGGGGGAAGGCAACTCCTGCCCTACATTTACCCCCAAGAATAAGATGTGTGCAGATCCTTTTTTTTTTTTTCATTTACATAGTATGGAAATGTATTAAACTTAGCAAGTGTTCGGATATTGCATGGTGTAAAAGCTCCTCCAAGACCACAGATCCTTTCAAGGTGGTGATGGGATTAACATGATGTAAGAAGTTACAGGACAACACCACGTACTTATGCAACAACACTTGAGAAAGCTCCCACCTCCTCCCACAGCAGGTGAACCACCGCCGGGTCCAGCAGCACTGGATGTTTAGACACAGCTCCACAACTCTGCACGACGGATGGGCTATGCTGACTCAACTTCCCTATGAAAGCCTCATCAGGAGCCTCTTTGTCCTCTGTTTCCCCCCCTTTAAGTATACTTCTGAAAGAAAAAAAAGCCATGAAAAAGCTATTTGCATAAATATCATAACGTTTATTGTTCTGTTCACAGTTTTTGGAGAAACATTCCTAAATTACACAGTTATTCTCTCTTAAGAATTTGTGCCTTTTTCCAATTTGAATTTGCCTGGCTTTGATTGCCAGTCAGTGATTCTTGTTGTGTTGCTCTTTTTAAGATCAGAGAGCTGCAGTGTTCAATATTTTCTCCCCGTGAAGGTACTTGTGCACTGTAATCAAGACATTCTCAATTTTGGTAGATAAACTCAGCCAACTGAGTTTCTCTCTCGCCCTCTCTGAGGCATTTTCACACTCCACCAGTAATTTTTGATCTTTTTTTGCATCCGTTCCAATTACTCAGCTTCTCTTTTAAAATGTAAATATCCAAATTGCATCCAAAATTCCCAACTCTCACAGCTGAGACATACAGAAGTATAATCACTTACTGCTAACGGTAATTAAAAACAAGAACACATTCTTACTCATTAGTCTTTCACCCTGGGACTGCACTGGGAACACGTGTGGAGCTCTTAGTCACTCGTCCTGGGTATGGATATTTTTGTCATGTTAACATTTTATCAGTAGTGATTTTCTACCTATCTTCACCAGTGACCTGGAACCACTAAATCATATCGGGTCCCAGCAGAACCCTTCTATGAGCATCCCCATTTCATTATGGTTCTCTTTGAACGACCTTCTAAAGGGCCTCCGACTGTCAGAAAACACCAAGTTTTGCAGGGGCCCAGATATACTCAGTTCACTCTAATCCCCAAGAAAACCGAAAACCAAAGATACAATGAAATGACTTGCATCACGCTCCTTCACTAACATTCAGCTCCTTTTTCATGCCTTCCCTGGGGGCCTCAAGCTAGTTAAGCACTTCAGCCGGGGCCGTCCTGTCCTGTCTGCCATCCTTCTCATCAGCAGGTCAGAGACTGCCCCAGGCATGTCCCTTAGAAATACCGATAGAAGGTTTCTAGACCTGAATTTTAAAATGTTGATTTTTAATATTAAGCACTGCTAATGAATGGCATCCAGTTCTCTTACATCATCCCCAGCAGTTTTACCACCTGCATCTAGTAATGGTCCTTATCCTACCGCAAAGATTTCCTCTGAACTTCAGCTCTCTCTCCCCCTCTCCAAGCACTCCCACCCATACATTTTTCCTTTCCTTTGGCTATTGCTTTCCTTATTAATTTTCTGCACTTCGTAACTCTCATTTTGAGTTGATTGCTGTCAGCTTCCCTTTTTCTTATTTGTTTTGTATTGCTTTACATCTAATTTTTCCCTTCATTTCATCACTGAAACAGGATGGGCAGTTAGCCAAAGTTGTCCCCCTTCTCAATTGCAAAATTGTTGGGTTTTTGGCCATTTTATAGCTTTCACTTAGAAAACTGCCAATTCTAATTCAGTTTTCCATCTAATTTCTTCTTCACTACCAGATTTGATACGAGATTTGCTCAGCTATGCCCTTTTGAAGCACCAATTACCTTTATTAGCAGTTTGCGTGGCATATCGCCTAACTTGAATGTAATCAGGATCCCACAGTAACCACCAACTTCTAGTTCTGCGACTCATTTATCTTTATCTGACATAAACGAGACAAAACCAAATAACTGTGTTTCACGTGTAACACTGCATTAGAAAAACAGGTCTAGGACATAGACAACAAACATCAGTCCTGACTACTGGATTCCTTTCAACTGTAAAATAAATATACAGCTTTTTATTATACCTGTGAAGAAAAACCAGGCTAACAGATGCACTGGCAGGTTAGTACCAGCTGAAAGTCAATGATAACAGGCACGTGTCTTGGAAAACTCTTCCCCATTCACTTCTTACGTAATACTTCTCAAAAGTTTAATCATTTTTTTAACACTCCAAAAAGCAGAGAAAAATAGTTTTCAAACACTCTGAATACATTTACGAGCTTCCTGCACTAAGTCTGAGCATGAAAGTCTTTTGTACCTTCTTTAATATCATATGCTACTCAGACAAGTTGCCTTTGCGATTTTTTGCTTCTCTAGCAGGCACAAAAATTTAAAGCCGGACAAGCATAGTCATAGGTCTGATCTCCTCTGCACAGCTCACTTAACAGTAACGTTATTTTTCCAATTAGCCACCTTCATGCCCCCCCTCTTTAGAATACCTTAGAATGGATTTTGCATTCTAGATTACCCAAACAATTCTTAAACTGAAACAACACACACAAAAAAGTTTTAAAACACTTCTGGATATATTAACAGCATTGAGATAGTGCTTCATTTGAAAAACAATCCACACTGAATATAAAAGCATGCTATTTACTATAAATAAATGTGCTGCATTGAAACAGCAGAAAAAGGCTGGAGACAGAAAGGAGATGGTAGAGAAGACTCATTGCTCCAAAATCCGTAGAGTGAAGAGGAAGAAGGAACGAGTTTGATCAAAGAGGAAGCAGAAAGGTGAGTGGTTCCCTAGGATGGGAAAAGGCATCTGGGACCAGAGTTAGAGATGCCAGGGGAGCGCTCTGCCAGGAAGCCTGGGTGCAGCCACAGAGCGCTCCCGTGGGCCCGAAGGCAGTCAGTCTGCAGTCAGTCTGCCTGCGGGACAGGCCGTCAGGGAAGAGCAAGACTGGAGGGGCGATGGGAAGAAAGAGACCGAGATGGAAAATAAATAGGCAGCAGAGGAGAAAAGCCATTTAAAGACACTGGGCTGAACATCAGTTTCTTTGCTAAGGAGCAGTGAAGGAACAAGGATGACTTGAACCAAAGGGCTGAGGGAGGGAATGGAGCGAGATGTGACAGCTTGGGCAGAATAGACTGGGGAAGCAATTGGGCTGGAGAGTCTGCAGCCTTCACAGAAACGCTCCTTTGGGCTCAGAACTGAAGCAAAAATTCCTGGCTCCAATCGCACTTGCGTGTGGCCTGCCAGTGAAATGTGAAAACAAAACCTGCTGCTTCAGCTCAGAGTTCCTCACCGCTACATCGGATGCTTAGGTCAAGAACGGGTGTCCATAGGCCGAACATAAAGGATGGGTGACACACGTGGGTTACACGTAATACCATGATGCCATTTCTTAAGTTCAACTTTTAAAAACCTAATTATACATATCTTGAGACCTTACGATTACATAAGGTCAGGTACACAAAGTTGGGCAGTTTTAGACACCTTCTGGGCAGCCTTAGCTCACTGATCAGGTACTGAAGGCTTGATCAGATACTGCAACGTACTCACAAAAAGCAGCCAAACTAACAGTGCACAAACTTGGTTTTGCCATTTCCTAGCTTCTGAGTGCTTGATTTTGCACAGCATTAATAAAGGTCTTAAAAGTAGTTGTGTGTGGATAATGGTGCATGGGAATTTTGCCAACTCAGACATGAGGGAGTTCAAGAGGCTTTTCTAATCTTGCGAGTTTACCCACTGAAGAAAAAGATTTTATTAAAAAAAGGAAGTACAGCTAAACTGGGAACAATACGTTACCACGGGCTGTTCTTCAGTTCTTCATGACCACTTCGAATCTTGAAAAAAAAAAAAAAAAATCACAAAATTTGGAACTTACTAAATAGGAATGAAATGTACTGATGCAGAAACATAAACAGAAATGCCAGATGTATAATGTCTCCTTGTAGTATGTGGCTTCAATTAATTCTTCTTAATTCATTTGTTTTCTTAACTTCTTTTGTTTTGCCATCTGGAAAAGGCCATTTTCTAATGACAGATCATAGGAGGAAAGATCCAAAGTTCAAGTTTGCTTCAAGGAAAAGCAGCCTCTTTTCTGTACTCGTAGACTCAGTGTTCCTTTTTGTAGTTTTCACTCACAGAGAAGCTTCAGGACAAACTTAGGCCTGGACCGGGAGGCAAAAAGATCTACATAGAAGTTTAGTAAAGTTTTTAAAAGTTTTACTCTTCAAAGTACAAATGTGAGAGCAGTTCTGTAAAAGGAAATGAAGGCACAGGAAACGGCGGAGTAAATGACAGGTATATAGTCATTTTGGAAGCGTGCAAGTGCATGCTTATTAGAATATTACATGTAGGAGATTTCTGGCTGGCTCTTACTTGTGTTATTTTAAAAAATAATCTACGTTTATCCAGTAAAAAAAAATCAACCCATTAATAAAACAAACAAATTCTATAGTTAGGCACATTTGAGTAGTGGAAACACACAATTACTTTGTCCTCTGAAGCTAATCAAAATAAAGTTAATAACAGCATAATGAGTAACGTCACTTTTGCACTGACACCCATTAGACAAAGTGATTCAGTATACATGAAGCTGTCAGCATAAGAAATCTTAATTGGACATGGTCGAAGGATCAGCATTGCCCTGCTTCAACAATAAATCCCACTATTTATCTAACTGTAACAGATGATTTATACTAGCATTGTATCCCATTGTCATCTTTTAATGAAGTGTATCTAGAGAACTGCTAGGTTTCACTGTATGAGCAAGCAGCCTTGCCCAGTAGCTGCTTTTCTTTATAAAATGCCTAAACATTGGTTTATACAAATATTTTCTAATTGGTAAATTAAATTTGTAGACATGTATCTGATTACAAAGAATAGTAGCTTCCACATATGGTATTGAACTAATCTCACTCCTGTACAGATTACTTTCTTCTTTTTATATTAGTGTTTCTGACTCAAAAAAAAAAATCTCAAGTATGTACACTGAAATTCACTCACCACCTGTCCCTTCTCAACTTGCTCACTTGAGGATTTGAGTAACGGACGCTAACCCATTTTCAAACAATGAAAAAGTGGCTCTCCAACCCCAAGCTGCTCTAGTGCTGCTGTGAAGTACTATTGCAGCTGTAACACAGCCACAACAAACATGAAGTTCAGAGTGCTTGTTTTACAAGTTCTTTAATTTCAAACAGGGATTTTTGGTTGTGCTTTTTTCTCAGTTACTTTATATAGAAAACAGGACTCAGGATATGGCATTTCAGGACATTGTGTAGAGCAACAAAAACATAGTTTCAAAAACTTAGAACACTACAGTGAAGTCACTATTGTGCCCAAGAATTAAGGAAGCGTTCCAATTAACAGATGAAAGTGTCATACATATTTTCTAAGGAAAAGGGATGACAGTTTTCTTTCATTAGGCACCTGCAACATCAAGTGTCTTAAGACACTAACAATCCATTTTTGCGTGCACACCGCTATGTAAATATGCTGACTGCTAAGTCAAGATTATAATAAGAATTGCAAGTTTACATGTGCAGTGAATAGAAACCCTTTATAGTTTATTGGTGAGAAGAAACTCTAGTGATTTGCAAAGTGAGGTTCCAACTTTATCCCACTAACAGCATTTCAGGACAAAAAAGTAACATGGAATACCACTATCAAGCTATTACAATCCTGTATTTTTAGAAAATTACATCATGGTACATCAATCCCTCTCAACATGACACACGTGGTATTATCTTGCTCTTCAATCCCCAAGGCTATTCAACAGTAACTTGAAACTGGGTGCCTAGCTTGCATATGCAATTGTTCCAGTTGTGCATTCACAGCTGACAACTGCCAGGGCAGAGCAATAGTTATCATCATTCATGCATGGAGTATTTGCTTTAAGATGTGGATAACTACACGAAAATAGTAGAAACCATTTTGCATTCATTTCCCAGTACTAGGCTTCAAGACATTTTAGATATCTATTCATACCAAATTTGCCCAAAGAGTGCAGACAGGAGTGTAAAGCTCCGCAAAATGAAGACTACCTAAGCAGCCTCTACTGGCTCTTACAAAAATTAACAATAAATGTATATGCAAGCGGGCATCTTAAAATAACAGTAAGGACAATAATTAGGTTAAGTAATAACTTGATTTCTACTATCATGTATGAATTACAGTTTTCTAATATCTGGTGTTGTGCAAGGACACCAGACAATCTTATTTAGAAACTCTATGTTTCATGCATAACTTCCTAAGATATACAATGCCCTCCAGAATAATTCACTTTCTATGAATACTTCATGAAAACATTTGCTCTGGTGTCATCATGTAAGGAACAACTTACAAAAGATCCACGCGGCTTAAGAACATCTATCCAATATATTTTTGCAACGTATCTACAGACTGGCCTTTTTGGAACCTTGGAAGAAAAAACATTCTTAGATTTCTTTCTACTGCATATGAAAGAAGGGTCCGGTCAAATAGACAGGTAATAAGGATTCCACTGATCAGTCATTTTATTGTAAGCTCAGCAAAAGCAAAGCATTACCCAGACAATTGAGCGCTACCCTCTGTTCCTGCTCTTCTCAGAAATGGTTAGGAGATACCTCAGAATTTTGTTAAGTTCCAAAATGTAAGCAGTTAATTTAACAGCCTTGTTCAGGACTGATGGTGTGGGCCGGCCCCAGCTGCAGGCTACAGTCATTACCAACAGATCCTTAACTAACTACAGTCCTCTGTTTGTTGGTCTCCTTGATCACGCATTTGTAAGGCATCTAGCAAAGCATGAGAGTGTTTTCTGGGACCTCTTCATAATCCTGGAGTGCAAACAACAGGAACAACTTTGCTCACAAATAATTTAAAGTTCCAAGTTGTCACAGATCACTAAGAAGTGACAACTGAACACTGGAAGGAGGACAGACATTCTGCTGGCTTTCACCTTCACCTGGGAGCTGCCTGTGCCAGCAAAGTCAACTGTGGTAGCTAACTGTGTGTAAAATTTGCCTGGAACATTATTACAGATATACTCACAATTTAAAGCTTCGATCCTCCCCCTTTACCCTGCAAAGACAGCGATTTTTATTTTTTTTTAAAACCAAACTTTGAGGCTGTTTTTCAACAGAACAAAGGGGCTGTCAAAAAAGTTAATTTTTTTTTTAAAGCAAATTAGGAATTCAGCTCTTCTGATAACACATTTTTAGTGAGATCAAGATATTTACAGCCTCTTAAAAAAAATACTGCATAGCTCAGTCTCCCTTCAGTAAAGGTGTTCTCAATTATATTCTTCGAAGCCATGAAAACTAATTTTGCAACATCACTTACAACCTTGTCTTTGTGAAAAGGTTTTTAAAATGTTTCAAGTATAAGTTTTCTTTAGCTTCTACTGCCCAGAAAGTATCTTTTTCTTGATCAGTTCCGCCCAATTTGTCACACTGAACTCACTGCTTCGTTCTTTCCAGCTCATCTCATCTTCTCTGCCCTTTACAGGCATACTTTAATAGCTTTGTCACTTCCATCCTGAGCAGACAAGGCACTAGCATTTTGAAATGCTAAAGATACACTTCTCATTTCTGTTGAATCTTCCAGAAGTACTTCCAGAGTTGTGTTCATAAGCTGAACACACCAGTTAAGATTTTTTCCTCCTATTTTCTTATTAAACCTCACATAAAATTTGACTTATTTGCACTTGCAAAGCAGGAAATCCTTGAGACACAAGTGGAACAAATACAAAGGTCAACGAGTGTAATAGGCTGCAGCCCCAACAGCTTTCTCAAGAAATCACAGGAATAATAAAGGAATGAAAGAAGTCACTTTTAAAAGACATATCTTAATCCTGAAAGGTGTTACAAAAACTGTTACCACCGATGGTTTTTGGACCTACCATCTAAGAATATATGGGAATTTACCTGCTCAAAAGCTATTTCATGAAGTTCAACATGTTAAAACGCATTCAGTTTATGTATTTTGTACTAAAAGTATGCTTAGAAACAAAATTACCTTAACCTTACTTTCAACATGCTATCAAGCGTCTTAACTACTGAACCCAACTAAACTGAAAAACGGGAAATTACCTTGTACCTCAGCAGTCAGCATGGTTACTCGGAACAACACTTATGTATATCAGGCTCACGATGGGGTTGTTCGGATTGATTTTAAAATTAGACTGGGAAAAAAAAATTCACCCTGAAACAAGGCTGCAAGTTTCCTTATGCCATAAACAAACTAAGTTGACAGAGAATACTGTTTCCTCCCCCCCCCTAAAACTGTGAGAGCATGACAAAAGTAACAAAGGAAACATTAATTTGGGGGCTTTATTTAATTTTTCTTTTCTTTTTTTTTTTTCTTTTTTTTAAGATGCTACATAGTCAAACAGGATTGGTCTTTTACGGCATAGGACTAGTTTACTACTAATATTTTTTCCCCTAGATAGACTTATTTACATACAAAAACAGTTTCCTGACCACTGTTTATCCAATGCTCAGATGATCAAAACTCCCAACAATTGTGTAGTGCCCAAAACACCAGGAGGCAGAAGAATCTCGCATCACTACAGCAGCAAATTTTTAGTTCTAGTCACTGGCTTTAAACAGGTGCCTTTTCATACCATATAGTATTAGTCAATTTTGTGACAATAAGGAAACATGAGATGAAATACATTAAATAAGTTAAATATGCATTAAACATCTCTGAATAACATTTTAATTCAACTAAATGAACCAACAGCAATGTAGCTTGGTCCCTTTATGAGAACAAGGCATTGACCTTTAGTCCAAATGAGTGTCATACCAGTCAATATATGCCTCTTAATGATGCCTAGCACATTCAGCATTGCCACATACAATTCTTTTCAGCTTCTCACTATTCATTTAAGTGCCAAGAAATTGGTAACTTGCACAGAGTTGAAGACACTGACAGAAACTGTTAAATTTATGAGCAGAATGGTGGATTAACGTATTTTACAGAAGTTATCAACACCTCCTGCCTAACCCAGCTCCAAACATCCAATAGGGCCAGCTCCAGCAGTGGAGGAATACTTTTTCTATTTTTCCTTTTTTTTTTTCCTTTTTTTTTTTAAAAAGAGGTAATCCAGCAACATGTACCAGGGTCTAAGAATGTTTAAAATGACATATACAATATTCCATGGTAGTGTTAAATCATGATTTTCTCCCCCCCTTCATCACTGAAGCATATTCTCTTTCATTCATTCACTCATTGTACATTTTAAACTTTCTAGATTATGTTACATAGTATTTGTGCAGGGGTAATTTAAAGGCAAGACCTGTGAGATGTCATACATTAATTTTTTTTTTAAACATTGTTATGAATAAATTTAATCCAATGATATGGCAGAACCATCAAACCAATTTACAATTTCCAGCATGCTGCCTCTACAAGGCTATTTTTCCTATAATTACACCAAAGACAAAGAACAAAACCACCAAAGCAAGTAGTCTGGAGCTGAGCCCTTCGTCCTTGACAGCAGCTGCAGAAGCAGATATTGGGTTGTTTGTCTGGGGTGCCTTCCTCATCCGCAGTCCATCTTCTTCCTAAAGGAAGATATATTGATTACTTCTACTGAAAAAAAGCTTTAAATATTCACCATTATCATATTTATTTTAGGTGGGCATAATAAAATAGGCAAAAGCTAATTTACAGCTAAATTAGAGCTCTATTTCCTAGATAATCCTGAGAAGGAAAGGGTAGCGAGGTAGGAGAGGAATTCTGTATCTACTTGATGAGCAGAGCAAAACCACATGCTCTTGGAAGTTTTCTCCTGCTGACTAAGGTAATAGGGGAAGCAATGAGGAAGCCTGCAAGAACACTTGTCCAGGGTCTGGAGACAGCTCCAGAACTTCAAAAACACTGACGGAGGGAATGACATGAAGATGCTTTTCTTGCTCTGTAAGCAAATATACTACTGTTGGGGAAAATGCTTTTCAATATAACTAAGACAGGTTGTGAAAAATATACAACTTTAAGGCAATTATACTCATCATTCCCCTAGTTACATGTCACAAGCAAATTTTACCAGCATTTGGAGGGAAATCTATTTCCCCCATCATATTAATGCTGACATTTTGACATGAAAGTAATGGCAATAATTAGGATGTTTTCTTGGTATGAGTTTGACAGCTCTCTTGATATAAAGATGTATGAGACAACAGATAAAACAACACCAAAACACCAGATATTACTATTTCAAGTGGAGACGATGTTCCCCACATCTTGATCTAAACTGTTGTGCAGCACAGCTGTGTGTTAGCACACTCCATTCCACACACAGAGCACTTTAGGAGAGGGTAAAGTGAGCCTTTTGTGACCTAACTTGTATACAGCTGAAGCAAGTGTTAGACTTTATGTGATACAGTATTATAGTGCAGAAGTATAAGATACTGAAGCAAAAGCCTCCAGTCTACACATAAATAAAATACTCAAGAAATAAAATTTTATAAAAATTACTGCAGCCTTAGAAATTGTCAGATAAGTGAAATTCGAAAGGCTCAGTGTATGTCAGTGTTTCTCACTTTTGAATTTAAAGGGGCACCCAACGTTCTGGAGGAAATATTTTAATGAATAAATAATAATTAAAAAAAAAGTTACAGACTACCTGATACCTCACTACTGCTACAAGTCTGGATGGGGACAACTGACTTTTGCAAACAATAAAATGTTGTTTACCTATATAGTAATTTTACTGCTAGAAACAACACATTTTCATTTTAAATATTTTAACTTCCTTTTGACAGCGACTCTAGCCTGACACTGACAGAACCTGGTGGCTGGCAGTAATTTAACATTGTTTTCTGATGTTTTACAGATGTTTCTAACACTCCACAAAGGGAACAAACAGCTCACTGTTTTAAGACATTACTGTAAGACATCAGCTCAATTCTAGATAACTCCTGTAGAGTGTTTATTCAAGACTGATTTGGAAAAAAAAATCATATAGAACTTATAGTACTGTGAAACGCTGGCAAAACAAGAACACAAGGAGAAGTTAAGGTCGTGTCTCAACTATATACATATGTTATTTCTACGTGCAAAACAAAACTGGTTTACAAGTGTTTAAAGAATTTCTTCATGCATCAGCCAGCCAAGCAGCATCCGAGCTGACGGACAGAGTTCCTTTCATTGGGCTCCAATAGTCACAAATTCCCAATTTTCATTGGTGCTGTTATCTATGAAACTAGACTTTTACAACAAATGAAACTACTGTAAAAACAGTTTTTCAGCATGGTGATAAAGGCTTCTCAATTACTTGATTTCACAGTGATGTGCTGGATATGACAGGAAGCATATTTCCTATTAATCTGTCTTACTCTGGTCATTTTAACTGCATATTATAGGTGCAATTACTAAAACACTCAGTATTTGCATGACGCTGCCCTCAAGCTCCCATCAGTTTGAGAGAACAGGGCCAAATCCAACACTGAATACTTAATTCAGACTGAGAAAATTAGGTGAGAAAAGAAAAAAAGAGAGGGAATTCATTACTTTGGGTTGCTATCCAATCAGTTTCTCTGACTGCATGACTTGTACGCTCCTTTCAAAGGAAGCACCGATTTCAACACTTTTTCACAGTTTATAGAAAAGAAACCTAAATTATCTTTTAATTTATAGACAATATTAAAATATTGTGCCAAGGTCAGGTAACCAAGCTTCTAAGTCGGAAGCTTCTTTTTCAGGAAAGGGGTAAATCTGGAAAAAAAAAAAAAGTACCTTTACCTTAAACTGTTTATTCTCCTCTCGTAACCTCTGAACTTCTACTTGAAGCCTCTTATAGTCTTCCATTACTTTCTTAACTTCAGTATCATCCAAAGAAGAACTTATTGATTTAGACATTACAGAGGAATCTGTCTTTGTTGCAGTTGTGGATACAATTTTATTTATTTCTATGTCATGCTGTTAAAAAAGGATAGAGTGACTGTTGGTTAGTTATTAACACCACACCACACACCTGATATTTAGGAAGAGAATCAGGTAAAATTGTCTGTGCACACCTGAAACGTGCCTGTATCAAAAGAAATAAACATTTTTCCTCCTGTAACCTTTACTTCCCCTTTCTGTTTCACAGAAAACACCAGATCAGCAGCAATAAGTGCAGACAGAATGACCTCGACTTTTCAGCCCCTGCATATATAGAAAAGGAAATATCCTTAGACCATGTCCCACAATATGAATGGAAACTTACTTGTTCACAGTCTGCTTTTGGAGTATTAGTGCTCTCCTCACCTCTCACTCCCCAAGCACAACACAAGCAGCTACTCCAGGAACCAGGGTATTGCTAGGAACTACCCACCTGCTCTGCTGCAGTTCCCTCCCTCTTCAGTCCCCACAACTGGCTATCACCTCTCCATCTTTCTGCATTTCTGTGGTGATGGAGGAACTTGCAACCCAAGTTAGGAAACAAGCTGCAGACCTCCAAACCCTCCTCCCTTTACTGCCTTTGGATCCTCTCCATGTTCTGCACTTTAGAAGGCAAAGGGCCTGGCTCTCATAAAAACCAAACCACGCTCTCTCCACCCAAACTGCTACCAAGGTCTTAACATGAAGATTTTCTCTGTATGAATAAAGTAATAGGATCTTGTTACTACTTGTGTTTTGTTTTGCCCCAATGAATTTTATGGATTACAGAAAAAATTACAACTAAATAGAAGTTTATACATTATAATATACAATATTATAGCTGCTAATTGCAATATAATCCCTAACTGCATTTGTGTCTTCCTTAGTAGCTTTCTACCAATTTACTTGCTAAAATCAGTGTTGTATCAAGGAAGCAAAGAGGAGTGTTAGACAGGCAAATTTATATTGCTGACTGTTATAACTGCTTCAGTAAAAACTCTGAGCTTTATGACCACTATCCAGCACCTTTCAATTTTTAAAAAAATATTCTTTATCCTGTGATCTTTCACTAAATGAAAACAGGTCAACCCAAAGATTTCTTTGTGCTTGTGTTGCACTTACGTTGTTCAAATTGGCTGCTAGTTACATTAAGCATCACTAAGATTTGAACTAGTTTATATTGCGTTTTCAAAGGGTGATGCCACCCAGGCAGTGAAACAGAGGGTTCTGTCTTTTGCTTATATAGCTGTCTGTATAAACATGCCATTTCACATGATTTACTGTGGTATTAGGTTAAAACACTCAATATGAATCTGAAAATACTCACAGGCTTATCATTTTCCGCTGGTAGCTCAAACACACACCTAAGTTTCGAATCCATGAGTTCTTCAGGTTTTGCTTCTTTCCACTGGAATAATTTAATATTAATTAAATATTAAACATGTTAGTATAATAAGGCAGATGGAAAATGCAGTGTATTATGTAAACAAATCACACCATCTTACTCAGGAAAAACTCCACAGGTGTTTATCACATTACCATTAACCACATACATGATGAAAAATGAAACCAAATACGTAACTGAGTGGTACCGTAAAGAAAGACCAGACACTATGAAGTAAACCATTCTAAATAGTCTGAAACTTACACAGCTAATTTATGAGAGAACTGGGAACTGTGTAAGAGTAATTAGCATAGATAGGGGGAGCTATGGTCCTGATTTAAAAAAAAAAAAAAAAGGAGGAGTGCATTCAAAGGAAGGGAAAGATAACAAAACCCCAAATCAGTAACAGTTCCAGTTCTGAATTCTTTGTTCAGCGGAGTTCCTATTCAAGCTTTTCAAACTTCACATGAGGTTTTCTTCCTGACTGGTATGAACTACAGGACTGCTCTTCCCCCCTCCTTGTTTTCCACCTCCTTATTTTTCAGCATCAATGTCTAAACAATAACAGATGTGCTACATATAGAAAGGGATAGCTTCCTCTCTCATCCTTCTCTCCCCTTCAGCTAGGAGTCTACCATAAAAAAAGTTTCCTTCCATTTTTTTTAATAGGGATTAACAGTTACAAATCTTTGCTCGATATCAGCTGTAACCCGAACTGAAAAGATTGATTCATACTAGTGACATACAGCAAGAACTGTCCACATTTATGTCCTGGAGTTCCCACATGCTTCTCTTCACTTTGACCATACTTCTGGTAGCATGGTATTGCTCAGCGTATCTCAAGTAGGTATCAAATTATGGCTAACTCCTGTGCAACCTGAAGAAGTATTTAACTCATCCTAAAGAGCTGAATCGTATGTCAGCTCTTCTGTGGCTGAAGTCGGAATTCTATTTCGAGCTCACTGGCTGCCTGTGAAGTGTTGAAAGCTTTATAGTACTCTAGTAATTTGTCTCACCTGTTTATCCAGAATAGGAAGAGATTTGGAGAGTGGTAACAAAACTGAGAAATGATCAGGTGTTATAGGAAAAGAAATCATATTGGTCTGGAGAGCTCTGGAAAACTGAAAGGGCCATCTAGGTCCTAAAAAACATTCTTTGCTAGCAAAATAACATTTTTCACGGTATAAAGTAACTCATAAAAATTAAAGAGTTAGAGAGAAAGGCAGACTGGCTTATCTTTCTAGTGATGCAAACATTTTATTACTATTGCTGTTTCTCCCACTAGATCTTATTTTGAGGCCATTAAACAAATATAGTTCCATGAATCTCTTTCAGAAGGCAAATTCTTAACCTTGCAGAGTGCCACAGCTTAAAAAAGCTATTCAGAAGAAGATGCATATTGTAAAGACTACTGTAAAAAAGCTATCATATGTACTCTGAGGTTTTTTGGGGTTGGCTGTTTTCATTTTAAGTAATATGCATAAATACAAACACATACAAGCCCCCCACTTTAGAGTAATGGCCTTTTTTCTTTTTTATGTCCTCAATACCTACTGAGTATTCTCCAAGCTAACAAAAGCTAGACTAGAAAAAGCTTCCTTGTGCCTCCTTGCAGTGGCAAATCTTGCTGTTATAGGAAAGCCACCAGTTGACATACTGGTTTGTTCCTTTCCAAGTTGTCTTAATGTAGCCTGACACATTATTTCTACATCTTTTGTCCTTCTTTGCTTCAGCACCTACATGCTTCCGTTACTCTTATTTGTAATCCACAGGACAAAATCTATGAAGGCCTTTCATTTACCTAAGCCACAACAGACATAGGTAGGGATAAAGAAAAATACAATACTTGTAAATCACCCTCCTGGTTCTTGCTGGGAAAAGGAGCTTCTCAAGGGAAGACTCAAGACTGGGAGTAGAGGCATAAAATATAAAAGATGCCACAGACTTAGAATATATTCTATATATTCTTAGAATATATAGTTCAAGTTGGTCTTTCTAAAAAATAATATATTGAAAAAAATTACAACTACTTAACATTTGTTTCATGGCTTGGTATCCCATTACTGAGAGCAGTGTCCTAAAGAAGCAACCACAGACACCAACTGTGTCTTTCAGTGCAAGACTCCTGGGACTTGAAATAACCAGAAAACACCTTGCCATGCAGAGAGATGGAAATCTGGCGAAGCTTTCAAGGATCATTCCAGTGTGGCTTGACAACAGCCCTTAAGAACACAGTAGAAGGTCTTACAAAATTATAAAATCAGAAACAAGTCCATTTTAATTAATTTCAATACTTACTACTGCTTCCATATCTGAAGTATCAGCTGGAGCAAACATAGACTGAACCATAAACTTGTGTTTACTTTTCTCATTAGGGTCATAGTCAAAAGGCTGTAGCATCACTGCAAGAAAAACCCCAAAACACATTATGTTAACATTGCTCTGATGCACAGTCATGCACTGATGATACAGTTACCAGATTTGAGAAATACAAACATTAAAATGGTTTCAAGTTGTATGTCCGTTATGACCAAAGCAGCAGCTGAGATCAGGAACCTCACTTTAAAACAAAATTTTAAGAGGCTAAGAGAAACAGACTTCTTCAGTCTGTCTAGATTTCTGTCTGAGAATCTTGGAAATGCTGATCACTACAATATTCCGTACACAACTATGGCAAGATAATAATAGTAATTTATAGTAAATAGGATAATTTACATATCTTCTGGGACAGAGGGAAAGATTCTCAAAGAAAACATCTTTTTTTCTTCCTCCATCCTTGGGGCAGAAGTAACAAGCTGGCATTTTGATTAGTTGTACACACAGTATTGCTGGTGGTTCCCAAGAAAAGCTACAGAGGCAAAGTCCAACATTTTAAATCTTGAGGTTCAAGTCTCAGGATGGAAATTTCCTCTACAAAGTTTAAGAGTCTCACAGTGTTTGTTTTATCAAGTACAAGTATTTCTCTTCCAAAAATAAGTTGCCAAAATTTTGTTACCAATTTATAACTAGAAGTTTATGGTTAAATGGTATATAAACTTCGCCTCTGAAAGGTATACAAGAAATGTATTTCTCTCCATTCAAAAATCACAACCATTCCAGAAATTACTTATGCAGAAAATGACTGTGTTCAGGAGGCAAAGGCAAGGAACAGCAGGTTGGGGGTATGGGTGTGCTTTTTAAAAAAAATTTATTTATTTAATACTAGGAATTTCCACGTCTCTTCTTTTTGGGTAAAGAACTAACATGTTCAAGTAACTTGCAGAGGGAGAGTTATGTATTTCATTTACATGGAATATTCTTTAATCACAGCGGTCACTTAGAATCCCTACATTTTGCAAATGACACCTAGATACATGCCGACATAGCTAGTGTGACGTTAACAAACATGGGTTTGGCTTCAACATGAGACAGAACATATGTGAAAATAAGCAAAGCAGTTTACACAAACATGTTTTTAGATATTGCAAAAAGCTACCACCCCCTCAAATTTAAAACAAAGCTTGCATATACTGGAATTACTGTTAACATAAAAAAAGGTGTAAGGTTTAAAAATTCACATTTTACGACCCATGAGGCTACTTCAGTCCCTCAGTTCACTCACTAAGAAGAGAAGCAGTTCAAGAATTAGGATTACTTTCAGGTATTAGTGCTATTAACATTATGTACCCAAATTCATATGCACTAATTGCAGGAGTTTATTGTATAAAGGCGATATCCAAAGATCCCATTTATTGCAAATGAAGGCAAGTCAAACCAATTTGCCTCCTTCAATGAGCAGAATATGTTATGGCTGTGCCATCTTTCTTATGCACACAATCCGTGGCTATCAACAACCACATGCCTTTTAAAGCCAGAAGAGAAGGAAGACAGCAAATTCTCTCAGATGAGGTGCTTTAAAAATTATTATACATTTTTAACTCACCTTGCAGTAATCAAATACTAGTCCAAAATAAATGCTTGCAAATTAACAGGCTACTTTTAAAACTGTTTTTCCAAACAGAAGTGACTGCACTGTGAAAGCACACATATTTCAACATTGCATGATACATCACTGAAAAGCAGCAGCGTAATTTTTTCTCCCCTGTAGTAGACACCTAACTTATTTCAAATCTACAAAATGTATAAGGATCCAACTGGGAGGTCAAAACTATCCACTGTTTATGGAACTTCTCCAGATCTGCACTTTTATCAGTTTGCTTTGCTGAGTGCAACTATAAGCTCATTTGAAAATCATTATTTCCTAAGTGATAGTGCTGAAGCCATTCTCAAACGCTAAACGATCGCTGCTCTGAATTCCATTCACTGAATCATAAGAGCAAGCAGCTAGAGAGGGCTTGACAGTACAAATGTTGTTAGCACTTGTATTTTTAGATCAATACATGAAAGCCACATTGACACAAATTATTCAGCAAATGTCTTGTAAGCCAGATGGGAAGCTCAAAAATATGTACTTTGTTGAAGAGGAAGCCAAACCATTTCAACATTTATTCACATACTATTGGGGGGTTCTGTGAAAGATCAGTTCCATGTAACTGCCCTAATTGCTGGAGTATTTGCTGCTGTGAATGTGGCTCCTTTGTTTTGACTGGAAATTACAGACCTTATGCAAGAACTACATGAAAAGCGTATGTTCCTACAAAATGCTTTATCAAATCAGTCATCTCATCTGGTCAAAAGTTTCTGACCGGCTTTCATCAGAACCCAGAGCTCTAAGAAACAAAATGATTAACATGATCTTCAAGTTTACTAGCACCAGCATCCATTAGGCAGAGATATGCATTTCAATCACTTTCTAAATTGATCACCCTACAGCTAAAGCACCAGAAGTATTCTACCACAAGCAAAAACTGCAAAGTCATTGAGAGATCAATGGAATGAGTAACGCAAGTTATATTTGTCGGCCCACTTGTCTCTCTCAAAATTCAAACACTAAGAACTGACCTTATGCACATCCTGTTCTGAAGTGTTTCCAAAGAAATGGATACCAGTTTT